ACTTGATTCCTTGTCAAGGACATGCAAATTAAAGACACAAGGAGATTGTACTAACATACAGATGGCCACCTTCTCGCTATGTTCTCACACAGTGGAGATAGCTATCCCTCTTGCCTCCTCTTCTTATAATGTTGCAGTTCTATCAACTTAGGACTCTATCTGTATGACCTCATTTAATCTTAATTACCTCCTAAGAAATCCTATCTCCAGATACAGTCACACTGAACTTCAACATATGAATGTCGGGGGGACACAGTTTAGTCCATAGCAGATGGCTGTGCATTTTATAGTATATTAGTGCAGGGGCTTCAGCTCTTCACACAACAGCATGTTGCTTGCACCCTTATTTAGGCCTTGCTTTGTTCTGCTTTATGGGACAGTTGGCTATCCAACTGTCTTCTCTCAACAAAACTAGTCCTTGAGAGTGCTGAAAACATTGCTCTATTTTCTCTCATAGACTATTCCTGTTCTTAATGGGTTCTAATCTCAATTAACATTTGTTTCATCTTAGGGTGGGAAGAGTGTTTACATTTTGGGCTATCTACTTTCCTTTGTATATTTTAATTCTAATAAATGAGGTCCAGCTCTTCTGGCTCAGGAAGTAGTACACGGTTGCACGATACTAGAGCACTACAGCAAGGCTCAGGGTCAGATTCTAGATTGACCTGAATGTACCAGGTGTACCCATGATCCTGGCTGGCTGGAAGGCTGCTAGGAGGACTGCAATGTGGCAATATCTTGCTGGGGATCCCTGCCTCTACCTCCTTTCTCCTTCTCATGAAAGAAACTTTATTAAAAAAATCCTTTGTTAAAAAAAATATAAGAAGGAAGTTTGAATTACCCTCATCATTCTTCAAAACTATATACTGCATGTATTGATCTAGAGAGGAAGCATTAGTTGGGCTTTGTAGGGGTACTGGTAAGGTTCGTTTACTTGATCCAGACAATAGTTACACAGGTGTGTTCACTTTGCTATAATTCAACAGTTGTGTACATATATTTTTCATGTGTTGTATGTCAATTAAATATGTAACTTATGTCTATATTATACACATTTCTAGTTTTAGATGACACTATGCTGGTGAGAATTTTTGAAAACAGTCAAGTTTATACATTGCTTGTTGAAATGTATTCCTTTTGGGGGGAATATGGCCAAATAATCAAAATTGAAAAGACATTTACCCTTTGATGAACCAGTATCTAGTCTGGAAATAAACTTAACAGTGTTAAAACACATACAAACTGTTAAACATTGAAGGTCATTCACTGGAGTGTTATTTATAATAATAAAATTGGAAACAGTGAAAGAAAGAACAAAAGAAGTGCACATCACAGAAGAGTATTATTCAGCAGTTAAGTGAGGGAGAGACAGATCTGTATCTGCTGATTTGAAAGGATCTTCAGGTTAAAAAGTGTGTAGGTGTTCCTATTTGTATTAAATATATGTATAAATAATTTTCTTGATGTTCATAGTGTATCTTGAGAAGAAAACCGAAGATATTGCTAACAGTGGATTCTTCTGAGAGAGGAGGGTGAAAAGAAGCTAAGTTTTCACTATACACTGCATGATGCACACTTTAAGATTAATTTATACATATAACCTAATCAGAAAAATAAGTTAGATCAAAAGATAGTTCTTTTCTGCCATCTTTTCCTCATTCTCATGTAGGTTCTTACTAAAAATTCTATAATTGATATCTTTGCCTTTACTTTCATCTAACAGCCTCCAAATCTCTTCCATGGAACAAAGGTCAGACTCTTCCATGATATTGAGCAAAGCAGGCAGGTCACTCTTCTGCTGGTGACCTTATTAATTGAGTTTAGACCTCAAGTGAATTTGAACAGATTTAAAAAAAAAAAATGAAACATTCAAAGCCTCTTTGCCCTCTTTAGTTCCCCCTACTCCCAGAAGGCAGGAAGAGAATGAAAGGCAAGTGTTCTATTTGTCTTTAGTGAGATTTACAAGTGCCATAAGCTAGCTGTCAAACTGGAAAGAGAAGAAACCTCAGGGGCCATGATTTGGATTGCAAAGAAAGAGAACGAGTCTAACATGTGCCCAGGATTTGTAGCAAGCAGATTTCAAGTAGTAAGGTCTTATCTCAATGGCCCAAAGTATCCAGAGTATTTGGAGGCCCTTAAAAGTAAAATAAAACAATATAATCAAAGGTGATCTCTGCAAGGAAAAACAAGAAAGCCCTCTCTAAAGAAACCAAGCCTATTTCCCAAATCACCTGTGGCCATCTGCAAGCGATAGAAGGCAGGTGCCCCATCAAAGATGAGGGGTTGTGGACACATGTTGAACAAATCAGCAAGAAGGCTAATACCTAGGCTTGCAAGTTTTTCAGTGGGCCATTCGTACGATTTATTTTTCCTTCATGAAAGAAAGAGAAGAGGTACATTTTTGAAAGGATCTTGCCATACTGAGATCCTTCACCACAGTTGGTGAGTGAACACCAACAACCAAACCTTCCAAACAGGCATTCTATGTAGCTTCAGCATCACGTGGTAGTGCCCTGTGTCTTGCACCACCTGGCTGTTCCTGCACAGATCTTTCATATTTTGTTTTCTTTTGAGACATGGTCATACTGTGTTGCCCTGGTTGGCCTCAAACTTGCAATCTTCCTGCCTCAGCCAAGTGAGCAGCTGAGACTACAGACCACCATATCCAACTCCTATACAGGTCTTTTAAAAAGCATATTTGAGAATAAAATAGCTAGGATTTGATGGTGCTGTTTTATCAGGTAAGAAACCGAAAGCAAAACCTGGAATCTGGAGAATATTTCATCTAACCCATTCATTTAGTAAAGTACACTATAAGCAGAGCCTGATATCGAGCACTCAGGTTTCTTAATACTTGGTCCATTGCTGTGTCTCTTCCCCATCTTGTCTTCTTAAAAGTCTGGACTCTGGAACCAGACTGGCTGAATGCAATCTCAGCTCTGCCTCTTGGGTGCCGCACTACTTTGAGCAAGTTACTTAACCTTTCCATGCTTCGATTTCTTCATCTGTATTACAGGGCTAATAGTACTACTACTAATTATTACCTGGTGTGGTTGTTGTGGGACTATAACCCACTTCAATGAGGGTCTGGTACATAGAAGACATCATATAAATATAACCCTACTATAATGATCGTTATTACTTCCAATTTCTGCATCAGAGAAATCATTTTTAAATGGGAAAGAACAGAACCTACACAGGAGGTACTTGTATTGGAACCCTGGCTTGGTCCTGAGCGCCACCTTAGGTCTCATAGAAGAAATCAGTCCCCCTCCCCCCCCCCTATAAAGAGAGCTTTCCAACCAAATATGGTGAGTTAGGCATCCTTTAACACAGGTGCAGTCCAAATGGAGGGGCATGGCCCCCCAAGGATGCCATGGCAGGATGTTCACTGAGAGTCCTGAGAACCTCTGGAGGCCTTGATAATGCTAAGGGTCTGTGTGTCCGGGACGTTTAAGACTGGCAGCTCTGCTGGCAGTCACACTCTTGACCTGGCTTTGAAGTCACCTTGGAAGTGAAGAGCATAGTTCTGGCCTGTCTTTCCTACTCCAGTTCTGTATAGAAGGATGAGCTCTGGTGACACAGTTAAGACTTCCAAAGACTCAGGTTGGAATGGACTTTAAATTTATTTATGGACAGTTGCACACCTGCAAATGCCAGCTGTAAGGAACATATTCTCAGCTTTGCTAACAAGAATTAGGTTCCTTACAAACCCTCTAGCTTGGGATAATTTATTCCTAAAAGAGAAGTAGCAATGTTTGGGTGGAGGGGAGTAACACATTAGTCACTACTGCTCCTTCCTGCTCTTTCAAACACAGGCTAACACCAAATGGCCAGCCAGGGCCACGCCAGGATGTCTATGACCTTGGTGGCACTGCCAGGTGGGGTGGGACCCGCAGTCCTCAAAGCCACAGCTAACTCCCTCTGCGGGGCACTTCCTAGAGTCTTTGATCTTTCCGCAGGAACCCGGGAGCGCTGCAATCTCCTCTTAGTTTACTCTCACCTGGTTTATTTGTACTATCTGCTTTCTCGCCTTGCCGCCATGGAGATCAGAACCCCAGGCCGCGTCTGGGCTTGTGTCCCGGAGAATCCCTTCACCTCAAAATCCGGCAAAAGGAGTGTTTTACTGAGTCCTGGGGCAGCAAATCTGGTGGAAAAGAGGGGGTCTTTCCCGGGCCAGGGAGCCCACTAGGAACTCCGATCCCGGGAATTAGTGGCCGGGACCCCTCCTCATCCCCAGTCCCAGCCCCGCGGGCAGGACCCCTTTTTAGTGGGTCTTCTTGGTCCGCCAAGGGATTGGAGCGTGCACCCTCTCCCAGACGCCAGGCTTAACCTGGAGTCTCGTCGCCTGCCCTGAACAGGCTGCAGTTGCCTCTCTCTGCCGAGAGCGGACCCTGCGCGGGGCCCTAATCTCTACCAGGCGTTTGCGTCTGAGTGGCCCGGCCCCAGCTCTCCATCTGCGCGCCTTCAATCTCATTTATCTTCTTAGCGCCCCACACTCGGCCTGCCCCGCCTCCTCTTCCTCTCACCCCCACCTCACTTGCAATTTACGACCCACCTCCCTCTCTCGTTCCCCCAAGTGCGCCGAACAGACGAGAGCAACCTCCGCGGGGCTGGGCAAAGTCGGCCACCTGGTGGAAGCGACCCAGAGGCGCGGCTAGAGGAGGGCCCAGTGAGGGTAGGAGGCGCCTTGAGATTTCAGGGTCAGGATCAGAGCACCGGGTCCAGGACCTGCGCTCACCTAGCTCCTCCCTGCGTCCCTGGTGGTTGAAGCTCCTTTCTCCCAGGCTCCAATCTAGGTCACAGCGGGGAACGGCTGAGCTGAGGGTCGCTGGAGGGGGTGAGGGGCGGCCTGTCTGCTCCCGGGGTGGGCGAGGAGTGAATTGTTTCAGAGCCTGCCCCTCTCACTTCTACTCGATTGTAATTCCATCCCCGGGCCGGTCTAGTCTCCCTCCCTCCCGCGGCCAGCCGGTCCCTCCCCATCGGCCTCCTCCGTCGCCCCCGCCTCCCCGAAAAGCTCTGCCCGAAGCCGGCTTCACTCCTGCACGCCGACTTCCCGGCGGCTGTCTTGCCTCGTTGGACGACCTGGAGGGTCGGGTCCAGCCTCCTTGCCCCTTGCCCGCCACACACACACCTCCTCGCACCGGCCAGGGGATCCGCGGGGGCCGCGTCTCCCACGTCCCCCGAGAGACGCCCCTTCCCTGTGCGCCCGGGACTTGGTGAAACTTTGCAGGCGTCGACGGTGAAATGGATTTAATTCGAGGCGTCTTGCTCCGTTTCTTGCTCCTGGCTGCCAGCCTCCAACCCAGAGCTGGGTCACTCCGAGCGTCCCTCCGAAAACCAGGTAATGCGCTCGGTCTGCCGCGGGGGCAGGCAGCACGCCCCCGAGCGCCCGGGTCCTGATGTTTGGCGGGGACGCAAAACCCGCTACGCATCGCCTCTTTCTCCCCTGACCGGCGTCAGTTTAACCCGATTCAGCTCCACTGAGAGCTGAGAAGAGGCTCGCTCTCCCCCCCTAGCTCAGGCAGTTCCAGGGATATTTGTTTGTTAAAAGAATGATGTATTTTCCAGCCCCAGGAGAGGCGGTGGTCTCTGCATTTGACCACGGAGAGCCAGGAGCCCGGACAGCGATCATGCTGTCTCAATTACAGAGGATGGCAACTGTGCAGAGGAGTCAAGCAGCTCCGCCTGTGTCTCAGAACATCTTATTAAATTCATATTGTCCAGAGCCCAGCCATTTCCTGTTAAGTGTCTGAAGGTTTGCCTGGAGCCCCGACTGCCCAACTCCAGTCCTGCCCACGCACTGTTGTAGAGCTGTGGATTCTGGGGCAGTTTGTTCAGAAAGGAGCACCCGGTGGATTAATTTGACCATTTACCGTGTTTGGAACTTCTGTCTTGGCTCTGCCATTTAAACAGAGATATATATATTGTAGGATATTACAAAGGATTGGAGAGAACTTGAAACCAGTACAACTTGCATTTCCTATTTATATAGGTAAAAGGTCTTTGTATATTTTTGTCTACTTTGGTTTGATTTACGTTGTGAGATTCTTCGAGGTAGAACACTCTAAACAATAAAGTTCTGATCTTTGTTTCTAAATAACGATTTTCTTTTTTTTTTTTCTGGGGTCATATTTAGAATTCTGAAAAATCTGTTTTTTCTTAGCTTACTTTGTAAGCAAGTTGTCTTATGGGATTAATTATATTTTATGAACAATGGAAAACAATTTAACTTTATTGGAAAACAGTCTGCACAACCTCACAAAAAGTGCGGATCATCTTCACAAATGTTTCTGTAAGAAAGGCAAACCAGGGGAAATTTATCAGAGGGCAGAGAAAACAATCTTGGCAGATTCTCATGTAACTGCTTAAATATTTTCACTGCTCAGGGATCTCTCTATCTGGAAATATGACTTGTTGCCTTACAGCTCTAAGAAACATTTTCAGTCTTTAGGCTGTAGCTATTGTCACCTGCTCCTCGTTACCTGCCTTGAAAGTTAGTATCATTATCATAATCTACACCACACTTAAATGATGAGCTATTCCATTTCTACACTGTTCAGTTCATTTTGGAGATAATAGCAGCAGTCCAAGACAGTATTCTATCAAATTGTTTTGCTTCCTGCGTGCATACTTCACACTCCTTAAGGACTTCAAGAAGGACTGCTTCCTAACTTTCCTCCTTAAGTAACCACATCATGATCAATGGCATTCTGCAGGTTGATGCACACCTAGTCACAGGTTTTGAACTGTGCAGAGCTACAACTACAGTTCCTAAGACTGAGCAACGTTGCTCACACACAGTTCGTAAGTGTGAGCAGTGCTGGCCGTGTTCTTTTAAGGATAGATTTCAGTCTATTTCAGCAGAATTTAAAAAAATTTTATTTTACAAAGCTTGCTGTGTAAAACTGCTCACATGGCTCACCATACTTCCTCTCTTATTTTTTGTAGTTCCCTCTCCTAAAAATATTTTCATTCAGGGCCTCGCTCTGTTCTTCCTGCCATGAATCTGCCATGTTGGCCTCTTTGGTTTTATTTGGATCAGAGATAGGGTTTTGATGGTGGAAATTCTACCTTTGAACTATTTTGGCATACTAAGTACATCAGAGGCTAGGTAGAAGGAGTGTTTAGCCTAGGTTCAGCCTAGAAGAGTTTTTCATCACTTTATAATTTTATCCCAACAGTGCTTTTCAGGTTGGAACGCTGCTCAGGTTAAACTGACAGCTACTTCATAAACTTCAGGGGAAATTTTCCTCCTGGGCTCATTTACATCCCTTGGAAAGACTAGTTTTTGATCCGGAAAATTGGTCCAGATTAAAAACCGAATGTGCCCTGCTTGGTATGATGTGAACAAGCAGCCAGCTAATTTATAATCTTCCCCAGACACCAGCAAATCCTGCTAGTATCCATATGGGAGTTTGTACCTTGTTTCCTCCATAGCAATTGGTTTGTGTGCAGTCCTCTGAAGGTAGCCTGGCCAGGCCTATTTGGAGCAGTTCTGTTTTATTTGTATAACCTTCCTTGTTTCCTCATAGTCCTAAATCTACTTTTGGTAAGTACAGCTTTCTTGGAGAAGTCTTGGATTCAAAACCAACCTGAAAATTCCCCATGCCGCCTACCTCTGCTAAGAAAAAAGCCAAGTAGCAGTTTCATGTATGAATCTAGTTTGGGTACAACACAAGCAACCTCTCTTTTCATCCTAAGCTAGCTCATTTTCAGGCATTGAACATTAAAAAGAAAACTTCTGCCTTTGACAAGATGCACAAGAAATGACTGATTTCAAGTTAAGTCTAATTAAAAGTAACAACTAACACTAATTACGTGCTTGCTGCACTGTTTTAAGAACTTGACAAGTGCTGATATATTTAATCAACCCAACTGGCCCTGTGAGATAGGTACTATTGTCATTCTTGCTTTACTGAAGCGAACATTGTGGTGTAGAGAGGTTAAGTCTCTTGCCCAAAGGCGCACAGCTAGAAGGTGGATGGAAATCTAGGCTCTAATATTCAGGACTAAGTTCATAAGCAGGTCTGTTTGCAGGCGTATGCAACTGGTCTTGGAGGGCGTATTCCTGGATCCTGAGGATGGGAAGTCCCATGGACAGAGTTCTAGAAACCAAGTAGAGTCTGTTATCCCTGCCATTTTGAGTTGAGTAGGGAGCCTGAATGGCTCTTAAACTTTTGTACATGGGATATGCCCAGGTTTCCAAAGACAATAAAGTACTTAGGACACTGACATGGAGGTTTGGAAGGTGCTGTCGACTTAACCTTATACATAAGAATGAGGGCAAGGGGGGAGGGATGCAGATGCCATAGCAGTTTGATCACTAGACATCCATATGGCCAACTGCAGTTCGAGTTCTGGACCCGTTGGCTTGAAACTCACCCCAGGTGTGGGTGCATGCTTTCCCAAGATCCCTGGAGGAGAATGGAGGAGAAGGGATTGCAGGGTGGCCATCCCCCCTGGGAGGGGGGTGATTTCTCACTTTCCCTCTCACTGTCTCTGTCTCTCTCTCTCTGGCTAGCACATGGGCCCTAAGGCAAAAACATCTTAAAAAAATGAATGAGGGTGGATATTATTATAGAAGGATGATGAACCACTTGCTTTCTCTTGTTGAATTTCTTGGGATTAAGGTTTGTGGGGCACAGAGGGTCCACTGGAGTGCCTGGAGGTAGAAAAAGGGACCTCCGAAGATCAGAAGGAATAGGATCCTTGTCATTTCCCCAGGCCTTAGTGATGAGGACACACAATTTGTTAACTAGCTTTCATTCCTTTTTTAGACTAGAGATTCAAATCGTAGGTCTGGAAGGACGTGAAACACCTTCATTTTGAACCTGGGCTGCAGGTGATTAAGTGACTTGCCAGAAGTTGAACTGGGACTAGTACTCAGATCTCCCATCCTCCTGAGTAGTTGTTAGTTCGGTGCTCTCTCTCACCCCGAGTCTCACTGGAAAGCACAGGGGGACTGTTGTGGTTCTGTTGTGGAGCAAGCAGAAGGGCAGGGGAAATCCAGAAATCTACCAGAACTAGCATGCCATAAGCCACCTGTATTCCTACAGGCAAACGGGTCACTCTTGCCTTTATTATTACTGTTTTTTAAAAGTCACATTACTGAAGTATGATTTTTATACAGTAAATTTCATCCTCTTTAGGTGTATCGTTTAATGAGTTCTAACAAACATATATGGCAATGTTACCACCACCACAATCAAAATGTCAGAACATTTCCATCAGCCTTTGTGTTCTATCCCTCTCAGCCCTGAGCAACAACAGATTTCTGTCCCTGTAACTTTACTACTTCCAGAATGTCAGCCTTGTGTCTACCTTCTTTCACTTAGCATAATGCTTTGAAGACCCATTCATGCTATTGCATGTAATAGTAGGTTGCTCCTTTTTTATTGCTGTATAGTAGTTCATTATTTAGATTACCACAGTTTGTTTAACCAGTCACTAGTTAGTGGACTTTTGGGTTGTTTTCAGTTTGAGGCTGTTATGAATGAAGTTGTTGTACATATTCACATATGAGTCTTTAGATGGCGATATGTTTTTATTTCTTTTGGCAATAGAAAGAATTGTATCATAGAGCAGGTATATGTTGGAGCTCAAAAGAAAACACCAAACTATTTTCCAAGGTGGCTAGACCATGTTACATGCTTACCAACAATGTTGGAGTGTTCCTCTGCTCCAAATCCTCTATAGCACTGGGTATAGTTGGTTTTTTGTTTCTTCATGTTTGTTTGATATTAAACATTTTTAATATACTCAGTTGCCATCTGAATCTCTTTTTTGGTGAAGTGACCTTTGAAAACTTCTGTTGATTATTTTTAATTGGGGTGCTTTTCTTATTACTGGATTTTGAGTATTATTTATATGTTACAGATGCAATTCCTTTATGTGTTTTGTAAATACCAGCTTTCAGTATGTGGTTTGTCTTCTTGTCTTTTTTTTTTTTTTTTTTGGTTTTTTTATAGGGCACATGTGAAGCAAATCCTGCTAGTATCCATATGGGAGTTTGTACCTTGTTTCCTCCATAGCAATTGGTTTGTGTGCAGTCCTCTGAAGGTAGCCTGGCCAGGCCTATTTGGAGCAGTTCTGTTTTATTTGTATAACCTTCCTTGTTTCCTCATAGTCCTAAATCTACTTTTGGTAAGTACAGCTTTCTTGGAGAAGTCTTGGATTCAAAACCAACCTGAAAATTCCCCATGCCGCCTACCTCTGCTAAGAAAAAAGCCAAGTAGCAGTTTCATGTATGAATCTAGTTTGGGTACAACACAAGCAACCTCTCTTTTCATCCTAAGCTAGCTCATTTTCAGGCATTGAACATTAAAAAGAAAACTTCTGCCT